GAGAGAGAGAGAGAGAGAGAGAGAGAGAGAGAGAGAGAGAGAGAGAGAGAGAGAGAAAGAGAGAGAGAGAGGTCAACCTTTATCTGAGAGTCTCTGAGACTTGTTCAGAAGCATGGCTGGATGTTTGAGCTTCAACATGGATCTCCTTTTTTTTTTTTTTTTTTTTTTTTTCCTTTGACATGTGATCTCCGTAATCCAAACAAAGGGCTTGGAAAGGAGAAGGGGAGGTATGCGCCAAAAAACGAGAATGGTTGAAGGGACGGAACTCCTAAATAGGAAAGAAGCTACATCTACACAGATTCTACAGTCTTCCCCCGAATACAACGCACGGTCATTATAGCTGAATTTGGTGTATCTTTCGGTCTAAATTCAGCTATAATGACCGTACGTTGTATTGGGGGGAAGACTGTAGCTCTCAGGACTCACGTGGAAATCATGCAGCCTGTACGGGCTGAGAGGAGCAACACAAATGTGATGCAAAAAAGAAGAAGAAAAAAAAAAGCAGCAAATGCTATGCATGCTGGAGGGGTGGTTTGAACAGGAGGAACAAGTGTGGAGCAGTCGCACATCCTTTTTTTTTTCTTTCTTTCTTTTTTCTTTTCTTTTTCCTTTTTTTTTCTTTCTTTTTTCCTTCCAAGCCCTGGAGCATGGAAAAGGAAAACAATGAAACCACAGCCGTTAAGGAAACACTGTAGTCAACAGCACACGAGCCGAAACCAACGGGATAGGATAGAAACGAGTTTGTGGGACAGTTGAGTGACCCAAATCCTGCCGTGCAGTACTCGTGATCCCAGGGTCAGTATTTTACATGTATTACCCGAAAAAGTAAGGAGATCTTTGTTCCCCTCCTCCTCTCCTTAACACTGGGCATGCCCGTGCAAAGAAAGCTTCCCGCCAGAATCTTTTCAATCGGTTGGGGGTGTGGCCAACCCCAAAAGAGGGTGGGGTCGGCCACAGGCCCACTGGATAGAAGATTTTCAGTATTTTACTTGCTATTGTGCGATTATCTCATTGGGTGGAGCCCTCCTTCAATCACGGAGTGTATGGAGGGTGTCAGGATCAATGCTGACCGAAGTCGAGTTTATTCCAGAAAAAGATGTCGCAGTTACTTTGTTCACTGTTGTTGCAACCACCACCATCAGATCATCCGTGATCTGATGGCTGGGAAGCACTCTGCCGTGATTTCTGGTGGCTGGTCTCTGTTTCTTTTTTTTTTTTTTTGCCTTTCTCCTGTTTTCTCAGCCCAGAAATTCGTAATGAACCTGTCAGCCCGCTGGCACTCAGTGCCACACTGGATCGGCCACACTCCTATCCGACTGCTAATGGGACCATGCTCCTGGATGTAGTCAATGTTGGGGCCACCCATGCAACGTTAGGGGTGTCTGCTTTCACCAGCACCACTAACGCACAGGGGCTGTATTTTTTTTGTGGGTCACGGATCAGATATTAAACTGATCAGAACAGATACTACACTTGATCTTAGCCAAAAGGCAGAGAAAGGTATATACAGAAGGGCTGTTTTATTATTTTTTTAATTAAGAAAAAAGAAAGTCAATGCCGCAGCTGTTTTAGGGGTCCACGGCCATGATGGACAGAAGCTAGGAGTGAATAAAACATGTGAGGGACGACCAAAAAAATGTCCTTTTTGTTGGAAGATCCAGCCAAAATTGTAGCCCCAGGGCTAAGAATAGGACCGGCAAAACCTCCGATGGCCCCACGTTTGCCCAAAACGGAGACCCGGTGGCCACAGGGCGCACCTGCCCCGAAACTTCACTGAATATTGGGCCTGGTGGGGCAGGGCGCCGATGTGTGACACCACTTGTTAGTTATTGTAATGGCCATCCGATTATCCGAGTACGAGAGAAGGCTGGGCGAATGAATAAGGGCCTCTAAGAAGGGAAGGGAGTTATCTTTTTTTTTTTTTTTTTTTTTTTTTTAAACACACCCTGGGTGGTGCTAGGGGTGCTGACATAGCAGCCACTGCTAGTACCCCCAGGCGGGAGTTATCAGCAGCTCCAAGGGACAAGAGAGAGTCCAGGATCAGAGATGAATAAAGCCCAAAGCCCAAGGAAAACAACTACAGCAATCAGAATTCCTCAATCCTGACGGTCTCTTATCACCGATGGAAAAAAGGATCAGATGACATACTTCACATTATCATGAAGGTATCTCCACATGTACAGTAAAAGTCACAATACCACAACACCACAAATAGACAGATGGCATGGTCTCAAACAACAGATGACAACAGATGACAAACCGTGACATCCTCATTTTGCTCATTGTAAATAGGGACGCTGGATCCGATTTCCAGCAGGTGCTGCTCCCCACCAATAGATGGAGCCTCCCCGATGGTGCTAGCAGTGTCTGCACTCATCAGCACCCCTAGCAACCGTTCGGGCCGTTTCCCAAGAAAAAAAGAAAAAAGAAAAAAAAGAAGACCCCTAACTTTTCTGGGTTTTTTCATGGTCTTTTTTTTTCTTTTTTTTTGAAAACCCGCTTGCATAACAAACCTCTCGCACCTTTCAAGCCAAAGAGATCCGGGTTGGTTGGTGTTCCCCCATACTATAAATAGACTAGTGAGAGGATGAGATAGATGTGTACTACCAAAGAAAGATGAAATAGATTGATAGAAGAATATAGATTAAAAAAAAAAAAAAACTTGTTACCAGTCCATAAACTGGACAAAAAAAAAAAAAAAACTGGACACCAAATAAACTAACAGCAAATTAAAAAACAAGAAAGCAAAAAAGACCAAAGGAGCCTAAACCCCCCAACGCCGAAGTGCGTTTTCATGCAAAATTCCCTCTCTACAGGCTTTCATGATTTTCAGGATTTTCAGGGCTTGCCAAAACAGTCGTCTCCTGCCAGGGGGGTTCACCTAGGGCTGAAAAGTGGGGGTCCTGGGGTCCCTGTCAGTGTTAAGTTGTTAACCACTTGCGATTCTCCCCAAAACCACCTACTTGAGCCCCACACCCGATCGTCGCCTCATCAGGAGTTGATTGCTCTAATTTCCGCTAACACTTCAAGTCTTGCGCCAGAGGAAGCCCATGTACCATCCATTAGTCAATTAATCTTGGTACACTCTCAGACTGCTGGTTCCTTTTTCAGAAAAACACACCAGCCCCTTCTATTCTGGGGGGGCATCAGTCCGGTTACTTATTACCACCGGCAAGCATGACTTCAGAATGGACTCAACAACAGAAAAGTGAAAAGGAGTCAGCCCAGCCCTTGCAGTAGTAGTCAACTCAAGAAAGGGGGCGGAGGGGGGGGGGG